TCAAGTGCAGAATTTTTGCGTTACCTGAAATATATTAAGCAATGGGATTGAAAACAATGAAGTTTAAAACAAGCATGACTGCTTTTTGTGAGGTTGGTAGGTTCTACATCAGAGAGTCGCCAGTTGTAGTTGATGATCCTGCATAATCATAGTTATTAGACTGGAGCCACTGTGGGAATACCAATTACGAGGGGACACCAAAAGGACGTTTTGGGCCTAGCATTGAATTGTCTCACTGAGTTATGCAAATGTGATCCGTATGAGCATAAACATATGCAAGCACACGTGCAGCCTAACAGGAATGCACACAAAGTATAAGCAGGACAAATAATGTGCATCCATAGACACACACAATGACAAAGAAGGTTTTGTAGATGTGATAACTTTGATATTATGGTTCACCTAGAACATTATCTCTGACTACTACTGTAAAAGAGGCAAGAAGCTATTTTAAAAGCTAAGCAATATCAACAGTTATTTTAGAAAAAAACATTTACTTTGTATTATGCTTAAACCAGCATTTAGAAGTGAGCATTTCTTCTTCTCAAACGGGATAACACTCTTTTGTTTGTTAGTGAGATAAAGCTGATTTTAACTCCAAAAGCAGCACCTGGAAATATCCTCTTGGAAACTTGGTAAATTGGAAGTGAAAACGCATTTTGAGCCAAACACAAGAAACAACGACAAAAACAAGATAGAGTACATCAATAACATTTTATTTATTATTTAAATTATACTCCAGTAAATCAATAGTCAATCTGCCGCAATCATCTGTTTCCTTTACCTTGGACAGGAAGTTTTAGAGGCCCGTACATTATATTGTTATTAACAGTCAGTCTTCATTAGCAGTAGTCAGATGTACAGTTTCTTTTAATTGGCGTGTTCATTAAACCGTCTCAAGCTGTAGCTCACTATGGTTTTAGTGTAATTAAATAATAGTTAAGTCCTTAGGGGGCTGAGTGGGAGAGAGACGGAGGGAGGGGGACAGAAAGACAGGAATATGAGAGGTTTGAAGTAGAGAAACAATGAGAATAAAAGGGACTAACAGCCTGAAGACATTGTTAATAAATATACCATAAACGTCCAAATGGCTACATTTTCCTACCATGTGGACTATTTCGAAAGTACAGTATGTGTATTTGCTTGCTATTTTATTTGGGTTGTATCTCTATGTGTGCACTCCCAATGCATTGTTTTGAATCTGCATTTTACTTCTGTCAATACATTATACCCAGATACTTTAAGTTTTGTATCAGTGTTTCTCCTGAAGCTTCTTGTACGCACACAGTCTCACAGAGGTACATTTTTAAATGTTCACTCTTAACCCACCAACGGCTATCTCAGGAAAATGTTGTTGACCAACAATTATTTTAAGATTATTATTTTCACTGATTCTGTTGTAGTCTCACCATCTTACCCTTTTTGTTTTATTTTGCTGTGGTTGTACAACTGCAGTCCTCCTGAGCTATTTTTGGGCTTGTGATGAAATAATTTAAAATCAGTGTTTTGTGTAAAGTGATGGATGGCTTCGGTACGCCCAGTAGCTGTGGTAAAGTAGGATGATTAATAAACCTCTGTTTGGTGTCAGAGTCCCAAATCACCTTGTCGTAGCTTATTTTGATAATGCTGTAATGACCAGCTCCTTGTATATATATGCAGTCCAGTGGCAAATGGCAACTAATAGCCAAATATTCCTGTCTATTTGCTACACTTTATGAATAGATAAAGGCAGTGGATGATCAGACAACTCAAAAAATATTATAATGATACAGTAGAGGCCTTGTTTCTGTAGCTGTCTGCCTTCCAACATGGCTGCAAGTAACCATTGGTAACCACTTCAAAAGAAAACATTTTTGTCCAGTGATGAAGGAGGGAAGCATCATATTATTGTTTCACTGTGACAACACAATATCAGTTCAATATGTTACTTAAAGGTCCAGTGTGTAGCATTTAGTGGCATCTCTCTAATGCAACTGAAGATTGCAAATCTGTCGCTTCCCCCTCCCCCTCCAACCGCAAAGGAGAAACTACCCCCATCTACAGCCAGTGTTTGTTTTGGCCCTTCTTCTGGGATACTGTAGAAACATGGCGGTATAACATGGCGGTCTTCGTATCTGTAGATATAAAAGGCTTATTCTAAGATAACAAAAACACAACGATTCTTATTTTCATACAATAATAAAAACCTACCTATGAATATTATATTCCATTTTTAACAATAGACCCTCCTGAATGTTACACACTGGACCTTTATATATGTTAGTATATTTGTCATGTATAAATTTAAGGATTTTTTTTTTATTCCTCATAGTATATGAAAAGCCTATAGTATATGAAAGGCCTTTAGTATTACACTATTTTTTATTCAATTTCATATCCAATAATTTGCCATGTGTCCGCAGTCAGTCTGTAACTTTCACTTTCTAGATCAAGAATTCACAGTTCCTGGTTGTGTACACATGTTTACTGATTTGGAACAAGGAATTTAACTTTTGAAAAATTGATCGTCTGAGCAGCGCTTCTGTTTAAAATCTTTGAAAATACTGCAACTGTGGTGAAACTTGGTCTTTCTGTTTTTTTTTAAGTCAATGAACTGGAATTATCCATTACTTTCAGTTGAATGGCAAAAGCAAAATTGACTGAGCAGTATGCTGACTGTTATATAACCAGCATACAACAAACACACCAATACTATGCCTGTATGCTCCTGAACCTGCTCTACAGAGAAGATATTCCCACCGGTGTAGCTCAACTTCACTATTTTAAAATTGTCATCACATTTGAGTTGTGACCCTTGGGCTTGACCCTGGCGGGATGGGGATGTTTTGTCATATCTGTTTCCGCCCTGCTCTCTACATAAAGTTAAGGTGCCATCTGTTAGCTTTGCATCTAGAGTGCTGCTGAGTGGCAGGTGCTCTTGAATCTGCCGACCACCTGGTGTGTGCAGCCTCCATCTTCTGAACATGTCATTAATGCAATATTTGACATACAAAGACACATACATTATAGGTAATAGGGCTGCCCCCCCTTATAGTCGACTTAATCGTTAGTCGCTGAGAAAAATCTTAGTAGACCCACTTTTCATTGGTCGGATGGTCGCAGAAAGAAACCCCACAAAAACCTTCAAACTCTGTTCGGGACCAAAGCATCAGGCGATTGTTGTGGCATGGACCTTTCTCTTGTAACACAGGGAGTCACTTACCGTGCTGTTGCATAAGTTAACTGTACTAGTTAGTAGTTATACATCATCCATCTTATCAATAAGTCCGCAAATATTTGTTTTTGTGAAATTGGAAATTGGACGTTATTCAGTGTTGTGTCAATTGTGTAATGTTACACTGTGTCTTAAAATAAATGAACTAAATGTTCAGTCTCTCTGCTATTTGTTCACACATTCATAATCATGACCCCTTTTTCTTTTATCATAGAAAAAAATATATTTAAATAATTCAATTAATATCATAAACATTCTACCAGTAGTTGACTATTTGCTTTATTTAGTCTAGGAAAATCTTTAGTCGGGGGGAGCCCTAATGAGTACATGTTCACGTACAACAAACTCCCCTGCTCCTTTATAACAGTGTGTAGATGAGGGAGTGGGAGAATGGGCAGCACCATGAAAGTAAGTGTTGACACTGTCACTGGTGGTGGTATTGTTGTTTAAGTCACGAGGTTGCCAGGCAGGCAGTCTAATTAAACTGTGCAGGCTAGCAAGTGCTTCCTCCCACGAATCAGCAGCCAAACTGAGCTAAGTGAAAGAGAAAGGGAAGATTTGTTCTTCACAGGCTTAAAAGTGCTGCTCAGAATAAAAAGAGAAGTGATTCATAGCAGCTGCAACTCCAGGGGGGCTTCCCAGAATTTGGATACGATGGTGCTATCAATATTAAAAGGCGTACTACCAATACATTTTGTATATGGAATGCTTACATTGATTGAGAATATGCACTGTTATGGAAGCAGATGATGGTGCTGCAGTACAGTACAATGGTACAGCTGTGAATATCCGCATCCGTTTTCATGGAAATCTGCAAATTAGTTCGAGTTCTGCAGTCATGGATCAAAATATTGGTTAAGAGAGACTCATGGACAGACTGACTGATGTTGCAATCCTCAGGAGTTACTGCCAGCGTTGCAGAAATACATTTTCTGTAGACAATACATACATTCACTATTCTCTGCCTTGTTGAATATGAAATGCCTTGAGAAGAATGCAGTTTAAAGAATTTCAATGTCCTACAAATGTCTTGCATTCCACTGAGTACTTTATATATATATATATATATATGCTGCAAAGCCTCTCCAAGTTTCATTCATTTTGTATTTCATCAAAATGATGAATGGCAGCTACAATAGCACGGACTGGTAAATTAGATCAGAGCTTCAAGCCCACGGTTACTATAATAACAGCAGGGGAAACATTCCAGTGCACAATACTTGTAAATGATGAATGTGTCTGAAAACAAATTTTGTCTTTTTTTCTGATTTCATCAGATTAACGGAGAGGAGGAGCAGAGACGTTTCGATGAGGGCAAAGCTCGCTACCTCCAGAATAAAGCGAAGAGACTCGCAGATAAGGAGCGCCAGCAGTGACGCCGCTGCTCACCAGAGTTAAACGCCTGCAACAACAGTGTATCAACCCCACACAACACATACAGTATGAAGGGAATAAAAACCCTCTCTCCTGTTCTGTAACTGTAGCCTCCTGTAAAACATAAACCTGTGATTATTATTTTTTTCCTGTGCTATGCACCAAAGTGTCCACATATAGCTATATGTATGTAAAAGTAAGAGTGCATATTTTTATTGATGTATGAAGACTATTTATGATCACTGTGCAAAGTGACAGTCTGACTGTATGTAGAAGTAAGAGTACTATTTTATTTTAAGAAGATTTTCAAGACTTGATGATCAGTGTCAAAAAGATGGAAAATGATGAATAAGTGAGTGAATAATAATGAATTAAAGATCCAAGCGTGAGTCTGGGGCTCTCGCCTCGTGTCCTTGCTAGTTTTGATGATGATGATGTCATTGTCTTGGGCATGCCTTGGCAGAGAGGGCACACGCTATCTATCTTTTCAGCACTGTGTCTTTCACAGAGAAATCAGGGGAGCTTGGGGGCTTTGACTCAACTCGCATCTCTCCCACGCCCGCCCTTCCCCCTCCCTTCCTCTCTCCTCCTCCTCTGCCTGTCTGTCACACTCTGACTCCAGCATTTGCTCTGCCTTACCATGCTTTCCTTTCCCTCTCCCGCTTACCGCCATGTCCTCATCCGTCTCCGTTCTCTTGCAATGTCACCCTCTTCTTCCTCTCATTCGCTCCATTTCTCCCTATGTCTCTACCAGTCTTCTCACCCTCTCACTGTCTTTGTGTCCAGATGCGATGTGAGGCCTCGTAGGTACCAGAACTTGAAAGAAATGTGCCAGTATGGGGATCTTTCTCTTTGCATATCTCCTGGGTTTGTGCATGTGTGCACAAAGAAAGATCAGAAAGATGAATTGGGGTCAGCCGTAGCCAGCGAGAAATCAATATCCATATGGGCAAGCCGGGACTGAAAAGGCTGTGATTATTAACCAGCCATAAATACTCCTGTTCAAATATTTAGCAGCATTGGTTTTTCATTTGGGTATTGAGATCACTCTTTTTTTCCAAATATTTTATTTGCATTTCTTTTAAAAAATAACATGCAAACACACATAACAGACATAAAGTACACAGTACCATTACACAAAATAACAGCAAAACATACAAAGAAACAATGTCTGAAGCTTCCAAAAGCCTTTCAAAGGCTGCCAGTTGACAGCAGTGTTGGAAATTGATCCTTTTGCCAATAAAGCATCATGGGGTGAGAGAAAAATATATATTTCTAAATAAAATTAAAAAAACATATGTGGGTGGACACTACCAGAATAATGTCAGTATGCAGTATATGGCAGAATTTACACAGATAGCACAGTAACAGTATTGAGAACACTCTTAGACGTGAATCTGATTTGTCAGGAGGAGTAGGTAGGCTCCATCCTGTGCAACAGATTGCAAGGACTAATTTGAGATCAAAACCAAAGTGAAATTAAAAGATTAAAGCCCAGTGAGCAAGCCACACATGTCTAAACCTTAGTAAAATGTTTTTTTGTTTGGACCTTTGCTCCTCCTTGTATGTTCTCTTACACAGACAGGAACTGATTTGTCATTGGATCTTGAAGGTTATTGTTTTTCCCTCTGTCCCTCCAGTATGTGTGCTTTTCATTTCCCCCATGAAAATAAAGTTAGGCTCAAGCTGCACCGGGGGGATATATCTATTTTTAACCCCAGTGAAGTCGAGGCATCTTGTGGGAGAAGGAGAGCACAGGGAGGGAGAGGAGGGAAAACATAGGATCCATCTCAGATGGTAAGAGAAAACTTGTAAAAATGTGCTTATTGAAAAGCATCTGCCTAATGTACATCATCAGGACAGGCGTGTGTGTCTGTGTCGTCTGTCGCTGCTCTGAAAACATTCAGACATGATATAATTTCTCATCATTCACTACAATGTTCATTACTGTCTACGGCCATTTCAGTTGGTAGCAGCTGGCTTTTATACGTAGAGACACAATATGGTAACCATGGTTACTTATGTGGAAGAACAGACTTGGAATAGATGGAAATGGAAGAGATGACATTATCAGAAATAGATAGGTAGCAAGAGATACAGTATGTTGAAATTTGCTTTAAATTGCTTAATTAAAGTCTCACATGTAAATAATCTTTGTGCGTGCCACCCATGAACTGCTGTAGTATATATTCAATGCACTTAAGGAAGAGGAAGCTGCACATAAAACTGCTTTTCCCCCATCAGAGAATAATGAAATAAAGGCAAAAAGCTGATCTCAAATTTCCTCTCATGTCTTCGCATCTAAATTAGGGGACTAGCCGTCCTCTCACTGCTGTATCCCAGAGTAGAGAGACTGACAAGGCTACTTAGAAGATGAATGATCCTCTGGTGCAGGAGAAAAACCATTAAGGACTCTGAATGAAGGATAAACGATAAAGCGAGGCGGTGTTGAGAAAACTCTCGGCTTTCATTACCAAGTGACCCACTTTGCATTTTCTCCTTGTCTCCATCGTCAGTCATTTTCTGACAGCAGGGTCTTTACTTCCACACACGAGACGAGAAACAGAAACCTGAACCGTGTTCCACATTATACTTCAAGGTCACACGTGAAAATAAGTCTGCCAATATTTGTATGAGGCATCGCTTCTGTTAAGTATGTCAGCCGAAGTTGCAGATGCTCAAAGACATCGTCCTCACACAGAAAACGGTTAAGCAACTCACTGTTCCTTTCTTTGGTAAACATTGTTTGTGCTTCCTGGAACACCTTCAGAGAGAAGAGATACAAGTCCTACACTCAGCCCTCGTCGGTTATCTGGGCTTGGAGCCAGCAGGGCTTTCCTTGCAGAGGAGTACGAGATGGGCAGTACTTTGTCTGGCCTGGAACCTCCCTTTCTTTCAGCCACAGGGGACCTCACTGGGAGTACTACTAAATTAGGCTACGTCTGACTGTAAGGCACAAAAACTCGTCCACACAGAGAGGTGGCAATGCTGAGAGGACATGGGAAAAGTAGATTAGAGCACAGACATTCAAAACAGTGTTAACTATTAAAGAGCTGCTGTGTCTGTGCTTGTATTTGTATGGTGTGTGTGTGTGTGTGTGTGTGTGTGATGTGGTGTGTGATCGTAGAGCTGACGGTAAGAGTGGGGGCAGCCCGGTGCCAGCGGAGCCAGTGGGCGGGAATGCCTTCTGTTGCTTTTTACTTCCAGGTCACCTAGCATCACACAGGAGAGGCTAGAGATGGACAGTCTGATTCTTTTAACAAAACTCTCCTGCCATGTTCAGTTCTAATGATGGACTTATTTAAGTCTAAAGTACAAAACAAAGCACCCCGTAACAGGCTATAACTACCCCCCGTCTTTATCTATACACCATCACATCCAAGAAAGGATATCTGCTCATTTTTCTTACACAATCTTCGTCTAAAATTATTTAAACTATCACCAGAAATTAGTTTGATTTGTTTTCTGCAGGCCATTCGTTAAGTGTAGTCGGCCAGAATTATTTGATGCCCATTGTAATTCTGTAAATGGATTGCTAATTTATGCACCCTCTGACCGATTTAGTCCTGACTCACTTTAGCCTGACGACTTAATAATGAACATCTGAAAGAGTCTGAGATAAAGGTAGATTAGTGCCGGCTCCTGTAGAGTCATAGGCATTCAAATGTAACACTGCTGTTCACTAAAATGAAGGTTTTGGACAGGTCTGTGAATCAGATTGTGTCATTTGTTTTAAAGTTGCTAAAAAAATATATGAATCTGCCCATTGTGAGAGGAAACTTTGTACTAATTTGCCTTCACAACCTTTCCATCTTTTGTTCTCTTTCCCTCGCACACAGTCCTTTAATCTTTTCATCCTCTCAAGTTGTGTTGCATCAAAAGGATCTTTTCCTCAGCTTTGAATTTTAAGAAACTAAGAAAAATAAGGGTAACTGTGTAACTTGTATCTGTGTAATCAAACTGGGTCCTTATGAAATAAAACATGAAGACCATATGTTGTGTCAGTTGAAAATTGAACGGGAGGGAAACTTTTTATAACCTGCGTCATGTTTAAATGGCCACGATTTCCCGTTTCATTGCTGAGATCAGGGCACACAGAGATGTCATTAGACACAGCTCTACAATAAAGTCAAATTAAGCAAGCATCATTAAGTGTAAAGGCAGGAGGTCAAAGTTAAATCAGGATGTTTTACAGAAGATATACGAGCATTTGGCAGCGCAGGCAACTTTAATGTCCTGCTTTGTTTTTCAACCTTGAAGGTGAGGCAGTGAAATCAGTTCTGGCTTTCTGTCCACACTAACTGGCATTTTTTCTCACAAATATGGAAAATATGGTTTAGAAGATGGTTTAAACCATTGACTTTTTAAAACCTGCAAAAGTTTGTGTGGCTGTTAATCTCACCAGTGAAGCAAAAAAACCCATGTTGGTAAAAATGATGGCATTTATAGCTTTAAAGTCCCTAACTGGTAGCACATACTGTACTTCTTATAATTCTTGAAAGGCTGAAGAATTTCATTTTACATTCTAGTAACATATGAAACAAGCTCCTTCTCCTCTGGTGTTCAAGTTTTGCTCTGAGGAGCCAAAATCTTTAAACAAGTTCTCTGCAGTGCAACTCTGACTGTGGTTTTGTACCAACTTTAAAAAACTAAATCTGGCCCTTGAATATATGCAATTAATGTGGGCTAACAGGACAAAACAGCATTTTTTTAGACGGACTGTGTTGTTCCTGTTGCAGTCCCATTGCGTGCTTTGAATAATAAGAATGTAAACCTAGAGGCTGCAGTGTGGCTTTAGGTAAGTATTGACTGGATCAGCTGTGAAGCTCAGGGGACATTTCCTATACCTCGCCTCCGCATCTGGAGGAGCTTTTCTTTTTAAGGCCCTTTTCAGTCCTGAACAGCCTGACTATGTACTGCATGGGCAGTCCAGGTGCAGTGTATCTTTTTTAATAAATGGGAAGCAGATCATCAGACCGTCCAACAAATAAATGAAAATAATCCTCATAATAGTGGCAAAAAAACCAAGGCACCAGGGACGTCTCTGTGTTTCTCCTCTCACGTATAGGGCCTATTAGTTTTCTCACTGGATACAATCTAAGCCCCGAGGGAGGAAAGCCGCTCTTACAGAATCATCCAGGGAAGGAGTCTTACATAACAAGTCGTATAATGTCAATGAAAAAGGGCCCATTTAAAGGAGCATGAATAACATGAGAAAATAACACGCATTAATGTGATACAAACGGGAGGTTCAATGCAGCAGTGGTTTAAAAATGTTTGGATAATGAAACCGAACGCTATGGCGAATTAGATTCAGTCCAATTTAGAGACTTATAGCTAGCTGCAATAGGCTGTTAAAGCCATCTCTTATTCTCCTAATGAAGTCAGCTTAAAACCAACTCATTCAAATTAGACCTTTAATGAAGAGTATGCCTGAGTGTTCATTCAGAGGCTGCGGGAATGCTTATACATGTATATATTCAAAGCAAATGTGCAACATGCAAGAGCGGTTCTCGCTCCGTCAGAAAATGCCGACCTCTTTCCCATGAATTATTTCTTATTGCGGTTCACTCCCACGGCCACGGAGCGTCTGACCCGCGAACGAGCCTGTGCTGTCGGGAGCGCGCAGCAGTCATGCCTCATCCTGTCGCTCGCCTCGCCAGCGTCGGAGCACGAGAACAAGAAGAAATTGGTCTTTTGCCTAAAATGTACCCGCTCTTTTAGCGCGACCGCCCGCTCCTCGGTGACGACGCTGACATTTTTCTTTTTTGAATCCAAACTCGTCGATAATTTGTCTTTTTTTTTTCTTCTTTTCTCCCCCCCCCC